CGACTGCCGCAAGACGTGTGGACCTCTCTTGATCCCTGGATCGGGTTCGAACTGGGCCATTGGGCTGGCGCTCCTGCGGCGGCTCTGCGCCCTCGGCGGCACACTATCAGCGTCTTTGGATTTACCAGCTGGGTGTTCGCCTGTGTCCGGCTTAGACTTGAACGGCTTCGTCATTGTTCCCGACATCTCGGTAGCCTTGTCCAAACCTTCAGCTCCTTCCTCGCTGGATCCGTCAGCCTCTGGATCTTTCTTGTCTTCGTGGCCAGGATCCTGTTTTGGAGAACTGACAGATTTCGCTGCGTTCTCCCCATGGACAGTGATGCTGAGCTTCCCGGGAAGGCCTGAAGTCATGGGACAAGTGCACATGACGCCCACTTGGAAACTAAACTTAACCAAACAAACTTGTGATTGCGTCGGGAGTCCATCAACTTCGCTCTCGCTCGGGGGGCCAGCAGCGACCGGGTCACCGCGCAGCGCCACTCGGCTCGTGAAATTCATGCCAGGCCGCGTGCATCGTGTTCCTTCTCTGCTTCCTCCTTGAGTGCCTCAAGTTGGTACCTTGTAGCTAAGCCTTGACGCTAGGAGAAACTCGGAGAAACAGGTGTATGCCATACCGGACCAGCAGCTTTGACCTTGTACATGTCGAGCAGAAATTGCGGCGGAGCTCGTATGCACACCGTGACTGGCGTGGCAGAACTCTAATTCAATTTGGGCCTGTAAGGCAAAATCAAACCCAGAAGCACGGGGAAGTTATTACGAATACCATTGGGCCTTCGTCCCGATGATGAGCATTGTCGGATCTTGATTTCATGTGCCGGATCTGGTGCTCCATCTCCGAAAGCACTGCCTGCACCACCTGCAGAGAGGAATCCTCTCCCCTTTGAGGGACCGGAAAGAATTGATGTGCGACGATCCAGCCTTCGCCTGCCTTTGGAGGCCGTCATCGGAATGTCCTGTCTGAGGCACACTGGGAGGCCAACTTGTGGGGCAGTATAAAGTGCTAGTCCATCAGCTGCTTCATGCTGCGAAAGACTGCTAGTACGATGCATCAAGTCAAGTCACTGTCACGATCATCAACATGCGGCATGAAAGCCATCGAATAAGATCAAGCGACCCTCCATCCTGCTGAAACCAAAGCGTCAGGCGTAGTGAGCATCTTAAACCTCAGCTGCTGCCAAGCACAACTAAACAATGCGGAGTCCCATATGTTCCGGAAAGACGGCCGGCCGCGGCGCTTCTGCCCAATCATGCGTATGGCTTGGCAAACCGATTACCAACCAGGGGCGGCCGTGCCATGCATACATGGTATCATCTTGTAGCCCAATGCAAATTCTAAGCAACGGAACACGATTCGGCACGTGTCAAAGCAAGACCTGTTCCCACAGGAGCAAGAGATAGTCATATAGAGGTGGAGTCGACCACATCACAGCGGAATCACGGGCATCGTCGAAGGTTCAGCGACCTAAAGGCGTTCCGGCGCTGCCCCCTGCACGTTCTATGAACAGGCGAACCGCTTTTTCCTGTTGCTTAGACCAAAGCGCCACATGAGCCAAGGCCTTGCGCGCTTTTCCAGCGTCCCATGCAAGGAAAGCTCGAAGATGTGCGAAGAGCCACAACAAAAGAGACCCGATCTGGCGAAAGGACGAAACACAACATATGTAAGGACAGTCGCAATGCGAACACACATCGGCAGCAATTCACCCACACCGACAATGGAGAACACAGCCAACAAGAAGGACAAATCCAGATTTTCTGGACGTCAGTGTCTGTGGATCTCATCGCTTCGACAGTACTAAGAACCGGACAAAACATACCGACGCTGTTCCACATCAAGACCTGCTGCCAGCGCACCGCGGATCAGCATAGGCCTCGCCACTCCACTGACATTATCAGGAGCAGCAGTACAAGTTCTTCTGCTCTGGTCTACATGCTTAAACCGGCTGCGTGTCCTTCAGCAGGAGCTAGAATGCTTCAACTAGCATTCCGAACAATGTACAGGTATCCTCCTGTGCATCAGAATCCTCCAGCAAGAAAGATGTGGTGACGGGCTGTCAGCGCTCTCAGCATCGAGTACTTGGACCCTCTGCGCAATTTCAAGCCGAAGATTGAAACGTGCTACTGACGAAGGCACACAGGTTTTTGGAGTCATGAGAGTCTGAAGCCTGCAGTTGAATGATCGAGTTTCCCTGGGCTTTACCTTGGACATGCCATCATTTCTTGAGTCCAACAGCTCTGGATCAAGGATCTCCCGACCCTTGCTGAGCTCTCAGCAACACGGGTGCATTGATTGGATCTTCCAGACTCCGCAACCTTGTACACGCGAACACGGAAGCACACGGAAGCACATGTGTGTACACACGCGAGTGGCACCGGATAATACATCTTTGAAGGTCAGAACCAGTATCTGCATATTGACTGTGCAGCACATCATCCCTCCAGAAGTCTCGAGACCCTGAATCGACGAGCCCTTTTGCTGGCAACAGTTCTGTCCTTACGACTGCACTTGCATGCACACCCTTAACTGGGAGGCTCATGCGTACTTTGGCTGTGGTCAGATAACTATATGCTACAACTAGGCATACCCGGTATACCCCAGCGGGGCTACCCAATGCACTTGGAGCCTAATTACCCTGCAACTACCCACGATGCTCCAAGCGCACAACAGCTTCTAAGGCCGAAGGCAAACCGAAGATGGAAGCACGTCGCAAGTCACCAGGAAGGCGGTACCTTTAAAAGGAGACAGCAGCGCAGCTTGATGTGAGAGGACTGCTCCCGGTGGAAAGGAGTCATTCCGGGATTCCGGGGCCGTCACTGGACAGTGAAACTCAAAAGCTGCCACAGCATGCGCCCGTCCGAAAGTGATAGTGGCCTCAAACTTGACAAGCCATCCATGCGCTTCCGAGGATCTGTGTTGCAAGACATAAGGCTCCTGGCTGTCCATCAAGAAATAACACCGCAGCCCTCACCGCACAGGCACTTCGGCAGCAGGCAGGGTCCACCTCCGACACGTCTGGCGCCCAGGTACCGTACTGTAAAGGAACTCTGCACGAGTGTACGACGATCTTCCAAAGTCGCAGCCGCCTTGAGGCAGCTACCGTCTCGCCTGAGCTGGAAGTTCATTCCCATCACAAAGCCTCACAAGATCACAACTGGGAACGGTGCAGGTCGGTAGCCCACGTGCTGCCCTTCAAGATGGAGGCCGTGCATTTGATGCCTCCAGTGCACGGGCCGCCCACCGTTTAACCCTGGATACCATGACAAGGTGTCGGAATCCCAACGCCTTCCAACTCCTGCCCCCTGGACCACCGCAGCATTTTAAACGGATACTAGATGTGGCCAGCCTCTGTCCCCGCCAGCCCCGCTCACATCGGCTCTCCTTGAGCTCTAGGTCTCGTCCGAACTGAAATGTCCGCCGGACTTCTCGATTTGATGGTTTGGCACTGGCAAGTTGCCGCTCCAAATCCTTGAACGGTGTTGGATGGGGTTCGTTGTGCACCAGCGGCACAGCTTCACAATTGTGGCTTTGGATCCTGTCAGCATCCGGCGTTGGCCCTCCTTTCAGACCCCGCCGCCCCAGCCAGTCTGCAATAGCCTGAAAGCTGAGCATCGTTCGGCAAGAGTGTAAGAAAGTGCAACAAGCCTACTCGGACAGGTGCGATCATCATCGATCATCGCGTGACAGGAATTCTCAGAAGCCAACGCACGAGCTTGCCAGACACCTCGTCCTGATCCGTCATTTTGGCATAGCTGAAGACACTCACAGCAGGTCAAGCACCTCGACTTCGAGTGCCACCTCTGCACCGCCCACGGGCTTGGATGCTGCTCGAACTTCGTCGCGCGAGGGTGCAGTGGGGACTGTGGGGACCCCACCCAAACATTGGAGGTGCCGTGCCTCACTTTCCAGCTGCATCATGTACCGCTCTGGTGTGCAAGGCAACACAGCTGCAAATACTTTATGCTCTCAGGCTTGGTGCCAGTATGAACAGCGGAGTCTGGCCTGAAGAATCGAGCTCAACCTGGCAAATCAGTCTGATGTCACACTGCATAGCAAATGTAACTTCTGGCCAACGGCTCACGATCACCGAGCTGAGCAGCGCGCGATTCGGGTAACCAAGCCCGGAACGACCGTCAAACATTGTGCCTGAGATGCGATATCGTTGTCAAAAGCCGGTGCTGCGTTTTGCCAAGCTCATGATCTCGATAAGTCTCCCATTGACAGACAGTGTGGTTTGGTGGGCTCGTTGTCAATGTCTGGCCTCTTCCTCTTCGAGAATCTTGTCCAAGCTTCCCGTCTGGAGGATCGCAGCTCTCATTCCCGTTTCGTGCACCGCCCGAGAAAGCAAGCAAAGCATCGGTGAAGTTGTTGCCATCGACATGTCGACAACGAAAGTGCTCTTGACATTGAAACTGGGCAGGACGATGAAGCTAAGCCGGAAATAACTGCAATTGCTGCTTCAGGCATGACTGGTACTGCTGTATACGTTTGCGGAGACCCAGGAGCATCGAAAACGTTGGCAACAGCGTCGAAGCAGCTACAGCAATGCCAACAGCGGGAACCCAATAGTGCAAGCTCCGCTCTCACCAAACTAAAATGCATGACTACGATGCTGACTCAATCAATGCACAGTGGTCTCCAAATTATGGAGTCAGAAGAAAACCTGCAAAGACAAACAGGTTCAACCAATGGTTGTTATATCGCTGTATGAGCAACAACTCCCACAAGTTCCGGAAGAGCTTTCGTGAATTCGCCTCGCCCCCCCCCCCCCCGNNCAAGGCGTACAGGTCTACAGGCAACGCAAGATTCTCTTCTTGCCCCAGGCGCACAGCTGTGAGTATGATCCCAGCTAGAACCTTGAGCAGCAAGCATAGATACATGCAAGCGGTAGGTGAAACAGACATGCACCTGGATGTGTAACATCAGTGTTTCAACCACACACAAATTTAAAAACACGCAGAGCCGCATGGCCGTGGTATCGGCATTCTCCATTGCTTGCTGTTGCTCAAGCGCATTATGACGGCGGCGTTCGTACGAGCTATATACTGCTATACAAAGTGTGACACGTACTCAAACGCAAACGGATCTTCAGCTTCAAAGACTTTTCATATCTTGTCATGAAAGTGCGCACAAGTCACAAGGTTCAGTTTCCTCTCCAGATGGAAAGCATACTATACTGCAGAAATTTGCGGAGGTTAGCTCCACATGATGGCCAGCAAGACATCGGTGCGGCTGTTGAGGGGCAGCCGCAATGGTTTTAATTTGAAAGTATGTTCTCCTGTCTTAACGAAGTAACGTTACAGTATTGACAATTCAAGGCTGTAAGAAGTCCTTTTTCCGCCTCTTTCCTGTGAAAAGCGTCTTCTTCTGGAACAAACAGAAAAGATGCAAGCACGATATACAGAAGGATACCTCCTCATGTGAGAAGCTTCCTTGTGAAAGCGCTCAATCGACCTCCTCACCTCGCTCGTCACGAAATGGACAACGAGGATAACTCCATCTAGCGTAAACATAGCGAGCTTTTCCCCCTATAAGGTCTTACGTAGGTCTCAAAGAAGCCTGATAAGGATCCCCGTCGGGATCTACTCAGCCTAGTTCTTCCCTTCGCCTTTGCCCTTTCCTCGACGACTTGCCCTTGGAGGTCTGATCCTTGCCAAAGCCCTTTGCACCCGTCTGCGATTTACCAGGAGGCCGAACAGGTTCAGGAGGATGCTGTGAGCCAGAAGACGCTGCACCAGCGGTTGCCTCCCTGCAGAGAGCTTACCCCCGCAGCGGGCGCTGATTGCGGATCTGCTGCACCGTGCTGCTTGTTCATCTTCTGCCAATCTTCTGCCTTTGCTTCCTCAGGTCTGCTGCCTCCCTGACGGTGTCAGGATTACGGTTCATCGCCCGTTTCTGTGGTGCAGTGTACTGGTTCGTGTGGACTTCTACCATGAGAGGTGTCTGAGCATGGTAATTTCAGTCCGACAGAAGGTATGCTGCGCTGGTTGAATTCCAATGATTCGGAAACGGAGAATTTGAAGTCTGAAAATTTAGCCGCGAGTTCCGACCATTGATTGTCATCCAAGGAGTTTCCCCACTCAAAAATGGAACACACCACTGGATCCAGTGATGGAAAACTGGCCCAGTCTGGCGAAGTGCAGTACTCGGGACGGCTGATCCACGGAGTCACCTTGATCAGCGGCTCGCCCTAGGTGGAGTACATCTTGTTGCCAGTCGTCGACGCGGTGGAATTTGCCGCGGTTGAAGAGGTGCCACGGGCTTGTCCGGAGATGCGAGATGCGTCCACGCGGCCGCGCACGGTATCTCCGGCCTGTGTCTGGCCGCCTGACCTGCCGGCGACGTGGCCTGCCCGACTTTCTCCTCCTTCAGCTCGTCCTCCTGATGAGCTTCCGGGACCTGGCTTTGGCTTCTGTTCTGAGCTGGCACCCTGCACCTCTTCCTTGTGGAAAGCCTGCCCCCGCCGCCTGCCGCCTCTGCTCATAGCGAAGGGCACCAGGGTCCTGCTGTACGAGATGACGACTCCGTTGTCGTAAGATACAGGTCATTGTTGCAACGCGACAAAATGGCCTCGACATCCAATTGAGCGTTAAACACGTATGGTCCAGATTTGATGACCGTGCCTTGCCCAGGACTCACCGATCCACCCGCATAAACGAAGTGGATGGCCACTCGGCCTTTGTGTCCAACCTGCGTGACATTTGGAGTTGACGCTGGCGTGGAATTTTTATCCGAGCTCCTTGCATCGGGCCACTGTGAGCTTCTCGCCCGAGGCTGCTGCGTCCACTTCCTGAGGAAGACGTGAATGACCTTGCGCAGCGAGGCCAATGTCCAAAGTTCGAATCGAAGAAGTGGTCAAAGGCCGAAGCTGTGGGGCTGATCCACTGTTGGAACCTGCCCTTGGAAGTGGCCATCAGGAGGCAAGCAGAGAGACCTTTGGATGCACGCACAGACCGTCCACTGCGGTCTCGGACCATGCGGATCACACTGTCGATCTCTCTTCCCAGGTCGGAGAGGCTGTCCGTGTCGATGCACCCCAGACAGTAGCAGAGGAGCTCATGCTTCCAAGCTGCAGGAGGTTGGCACCACGAAGGGTTTCTTCGCGCTTGCTGCCGTGAAGCAAGAAGCCTCCAGGATTTCCGTCAAATCCATCTCTCCATGTGGAAAGTACGCTGAGGCATCCTGCTGTCCCGGAAACCCTGGGATAGTGATAAGCTTCAGTTTGATCGAAGCCACCGAAGCAGACCGCGGCCCTGCGCCGTTCCCCCTCATAGCATGGTTGACCACGCCGGTATCTCCAACTGTTCGGAGCGTCCGACGTAGCTCCCTGCAGAGCTTTCAGGTAGTTAAGGTAGTTGCTGTACTCAGGAACACCAGTGGAGAGATCAACACGAATGTTGCATCCCATATTCGGCGTCCCTTTCCCTGACGAAAGCCTCCAGGAAATCAAGTGCAGAGTTGTGGGCAACCTTTAGATTGAACCATCTGATATGAGCAACGCAGGCACAAATTTGAAAAGAGACCAACAACCCTCCTAACAAGCAACTGCACACGAAGTAACATGACTGTGCATGACTGACTGCCTACCTGCAGGTGCACATGACTCACAAACGCTCATGCATGAGTGCTGGGAATTGCACAAAACAGAAAACCGCGAACTCCTTTCAGAGCCAGGCATTCAAGGCTTTGTGTTCCAACGTAGAGCGAAAAGGTGGGTGTGAGTCGATTTCCTTTAGCCGCCCCGCTTGAACAGCACCAAGGAGGCTTCTAGGACTAGCACTCCGCTTTGTCAGGCAATCTGACAAACCATGTTCAGTACGCACCTGAAAAAGATCGGCAATAGCTCCTGGGCAGGCGAATGGTCTCCTGTAGCTCCGGTGAGTGATTTGTGGAAGGAGTGGAAACGAGATTGTTGGCATCAGTCTTCATGTGAATCTCGGCATCCCCGCTAATATCCTGCCACAAACCCGAAGCATCTGACAGGTACCAGAACACTTCAACAAAGCGTACAGTTCAGCGACAGTGGTGCTGAGGGTCGTTCGTTTATAGTAGATTCGGAGAAAACCAAAGAGCCTCGGGTGTCTCTTCGATTCTTGACACGCTCATCAGCAATAAAGATTGTCATCGCACGTTGAAGGTGCTTTGTCGCTTTTGTTCCTAAAAGCCGAGTCAGTAATCCCAAGAATCCTCGGAGCACTTCACAGGCCACACCAGAGACTCGACCTCTTCACTGCGAATCTGTCGACACAACCTGTTCAACTCTTTGCAAATGACCAACGGTCGGAGCAGCAGACGCAGGCTAGCCGGGAAAACGGATAGCACGCTTGAGACTGAGTTCTCGACCGTAGCCAGTTGATACCTCCACGAAGCGAACGGTAGGAGGCGTGAAGAGCCTTGTCACAGGCATCAGCATCCTCAAGATGCCTCGGTATGACAATCTCCTCAAGGTCTGACACACGCAGTTTCTGATCAATCGAGATTTACTTCTTATTTCACTGTGCATCAAGGACCCAGCGAACACCCTGTCCGGTGAATGACAAGTCGTTTGTCCTCATGACCAACAGTGAAGTGTTCCTTTATCTTCTTGAGGAACCAGGTGAGAAACTCAGGGGTTCCACTGATAATAAGGTCATCAACGTGAAGACTCATCACTCCAACTGTTTTCCGGCGTTTGCTCGGACTTCCATGCACGGGATCGACAAAATGCTCAAAGCAACTGATCAACAAGCTCCGGAGAAAGTTCAGATAAACTCTCGACCTTGTAGAAGCCTGGTACAACCCTTAAATCCATCACCATCGAAGTCGGTGTCAAAAGCGCAGCGGCGAAGGCCTTGTGCTCCTCTGTGTGGTCAACATAGACCACCATGACCTGAGGGAGGGAGGCGAGGATTATCTATGGAAGTTGTCGTCGTGCAGAAGAATTCCAAGTAGACCTCACGAAGCTCGCTCGGATGGTAGTCTGCCAGTGCGCGGTTCCGATGAAGTCACTACCTGCTGCTGATCCTGGGTAGGGTCGGACAGGGAGACAAAGGTGAAAGCCACGAGGTTGGCCGTTATCGAATTGTCCGCCCGTGCTGGTCTCTAAGCCGATCGTTGGCTCGTTCCATCGCGCCCTCGGCTGTGATGTCTTGTTGTTCTTCTGCAGGAAGACCTGCGAGAAGGCTCGGACCTCAGCATTGTTCGGGTCAGTGATGGGAAGGTAGGCATCATTCCAAGCTTTTTGCATCCTTTGAGCAGAGAGTTGAAACCTGGTGTCTCCACTTCTTCACGGAGCAATGGAGCAAGTTCATGAACTGCTGGAACCCGGTCGAGGAACACATTGGCCGCGACCTTCACGAAGAGCAGCCACAGGAAGCTCTTGAAGTACTTCAATCCGTTGTTCGGGTCCTTCAAACGATCTCTGTCAAAAAGCCTTTTGTGGATTGCTGCTTCTCCTTC